GATGAAGTCAAACTGAGAAATCCAAGAAAGTCTAAAGACAACTTCTCTGGCATTCTCCCTCAGGGAAGCTAGTGAATTTGCCCTGTTTCTCTGAACCTTTCACCTCTTTGGTAACATTAAAATCAAAAGGGACAGACAAAAGATAAATCAGGCCCCCCCTTCCATCCAGCTAAGTAAATACAAAGTTTGGAGCATGGGCTATCCTTCCTCTTGTACAAGCCCTGCTATTCCTTCTTCTAGAAGATAAAGGTTAAGCTTCTAAAAGCCAGCTTTCGCCAACCTTAAGACAAACCCTTCTTCTAGCAACTGCCTCTTCCTCAAGCCTATATGCGCTCATGTATTTCTGATTTCTCTGATGGCTGCTCCTTCCAAACTTGACCTTTTGTGACAGGTATCATAGCTGGGATGATTGCTCTCCTCTTTCTGCTTTCTCTGATTTGCATGCTCTTTGCATTACAAGTGGTTAATTACTCTGAAACTGTTGTAAAACGTTTGCATCTACACACGTGTGTATACACACCCAGGGATGAATCTGCTGCTTCTCCCCATAAAAATACAGCAGAGGTTTTTATACTGAAACTGCTCATATTTTAGGTGTTTTGGTATGATTTTTGTAATATTAGAAGGTTATTTTTGTAAGTGTAAGGAGAAAAAGATACAAAAGTATCAGTATGTTATCTCTGAAGTGTCTTATTTAGCAGGTTAAACCCAGTTGTTCACTGTGAAATCATCCAGAGAAGCTAATTTATATTCTCGGTTTCTTTTTTGAGGTTTGAATATGTACAGCTTTTCATGGTTTAAAAAAAATGTGTTTTTTTCTTATGTTTTTAAATTGCAGTTAAAGAAGCCCATAATTTGTTTCAAGCACAGCTTTATTATGCCAATTGCTTTTTGTTTTTCTTTTTTTTTTTAAATCCAACCTTCTGAATGCATTATAGCCTTGCTGTCTACTGGGAAACCATATTTCTGTGAAAAAGTGCAAAACATGAAAATGTCTCTAATCTCTATGATCTCTTAGAGGTCTAGGAGGAGAAGGCAAGAGAATATCATGAGTGGAACAACACTCAGCCAGGTTCTGTTTCTGTGTCAGAACAAGCAGGTTCTAGGAAAGCCCCATTTGTTGTCTTTTAAATTTTCTTCCTAATGCCTAAGATTAGTGCATGAAAATTTCACACTGGGCTCTTAAGTAAAGGAAAAATTGCTTATTTGTTGGATACCTAAATATATATAAGAGGACCCTTTATTACAAGTTAAAAAAAAAAAAGGCATTATGCATTTAAAGTCTCTGGGGGGAAAAAAAAATCATGCCATTACAGAAATAAAACCAAAGATTCACAAAAGCTTTTATCATCTCATAGCTTCTGTTTAGAAAAGCATACCTATACATGTGTTTAAGTCCCATTAAGTGCTGTTCTAAATTGAACTTGTACATAATTCCTATTACTGCATTATGCTAATGGTAGTAAGTCCTGCAGCTGGCAATACCTAAGCGCTCACAGGCATTTAATAATATCCAGTAGCAACAACCAAAAGATCCCTTGCAGATGCCTGAAACAGTATAAGCACCTAGGCCAGAACAGAATAAGAGTTGTGAACTCCATTTCCATAAGGAAAACCAGCTAATAGGATCAGTATAGCAATCTCTTCAAGCGCCTGAGAAAATCTGAGATCATGCCACTAAGCGCTTGTGAGAAATATAAATGTGTTGTAAACTGTCTCCCATATATTTCCACTTTTTCTCCTCAACTTTCCTATTTATAATTAACACCTCTCTTTATCTTGTTCATTCTGAATATCTTTGTTCTTTTCAAGTTGAATTATTTAGTACTATCTCTTCCTCTCGTTTAAGCTCCCTTTATCTCGTGATCCCCTCTCCTTTATACTGAAATCTCTGCTGTCTAAATGCATAATCAGATGACATCTGCTACTACGGAACTTAAAAATCCCAGCACATTCCCTAAAATAACTTAACTGTGTAGTTATTAGACAGCAAGGTATGTTGTGCAGATAAGAGGCTGGGTACACAAAAGAAATAGGCTCCATATGGCACAAAGGGGAGCCGACATCTCGGCATCAGTTACAAACCACGTAAGACTGATTGTTCACAGCGTGAAGCCCAGAAACGTCCAGTCCACTTCTGCATCTTTGCAGACATGAACACTGGTCGCTGCTCACATAAACAGTCCTGTTGATTTCAACAGATTACCTGTGAGCAACGAAGATTTGGTGTCACGCAGCTACGCATGTCATGAAGCTTTTGTATTATGCAGAAGGAAGCACAAGGGCCTTCAGAGGCAGAAAAGCATCAGGAAGCCCTGAGGTATGTTTGCAGTTGAACAAAAGTGAAAATTTGGTCATGTGAAATCAGAGAGAAGCTAAATTCTCATTCCTGTACTGTGTCTAAGCCACAGCTAAATATATCCCCAAATGGTTTTGTATGATGTAATGGAGAATACACACAACCATGTGCCAGACCATTCTGGGATCTGGTCAAGTCCCAGTGGTTAACTAGGATATGTATATTATCTGTATGGGAACCTGATGAGGAAAGTGAAATGTTGCAGGATATAGTTTTGGATGGCAGACACTGAATTGTCCCCCTCTAATACTGACCAAATGCTTCTATATGGATGACAAATTGCCTTATAGCAACAGTGATGCTGTCTTGCAAACAGACTTAGGATGCATAAGAGTCCTGCCAATTATACAATACACTTGTAGTGTTTTCTTCCTTCTTGTTCTGTGCTGGTGGGGCAGGGCAGGGCTTACAGAGCGCTCTTTTATTTAAAAGCAGGACCAATCTCACCTATTTCATCTAAGAGACGTATGTGCTTATCATGATAGTTGAAGAACAGCTTTTAAACAAAACCAGCTAAAATACCTTCGTACAAGTCTTTTGATACACAGCTTAGAATATCTGCATATGATTTTAGAGATTACAGAAGATGAGAGCCACATGAATCCACGTTTTGTAACTCAGTTGGCAAAAGACATTTATTACAAACTTCAGATCTCCTGGAAACAAATTGCTAGGCAAAGCATCCACCCAAAGCAACAGAGCCTTATTAAAGCTTCTCTCTTTCTTGAGTATAGACAAAAGTTAAGCTTTTTCTGTGATATCTGATGACCACTGGCAAACCATTAGGTTGTTGTTTTTTTTTTAAATTTCTTAACTGTTTTAAATCTAATACGCAGTGAGATAGCTCATCCTTCTCTAGAGAAGGAGAGATAAGCTTGGGACAGTGCACAAGGAGTGACCCTTTGGACGGGAAAATGAGAAGAATCTTCCAGAGCTTAGGACTGAGGTTTCTAACTTCTGCCAATTAGAGCTGCTGTGAGCAAACATCTGAAACTTGTTGGCAAAATGAACCTAGAACAAACTTGGGCAGTAGGCAAGATTAGAAATTCATAATTAGTATCCACCTGCAAAGAGTGAGAGGCAGGATTGGTAGCATGTAAAAACTATGATGCAAAAGCAGGGAGAGACTGCTGTCTTTACAGCAGGACTGAATTTTATTTGTCAGACTGAGTGTCCTCCGTACTTGCCCCTTCTTTGCAGCCGTCTACAGCTTCTGCAGCAATCGACGCTGCAGCAACTTCATTCACTGTGAAATTTGGCTGCTTCCGAGTGCTTAACTTTCCGCCTCAACAGATTGTCATTTTGCTTTTCCTTGGTAACAATGCGTTCCTGAATTGTGCTGAAGCTGTTTGTGCCTTCTAGCTCTGCTGGTGCAGAGTGAGGCCTCTGCATCGCATAACCAACCAGCGGGGCTGGAACCACCAGGCAGAGGGTGCAAAGCCTCCTTGCCCATCTCTGTTAGGACCTCCAGGGCTGGGCACACATTCACAACAAAAACACCAGAGGAACACTGGATACCTGCCTGGTCTCCTGCTGTGTTCAGATCAGAGGGCCTATGCTCTTGCTAGCGTGCTTTCAGAGCCACATAGGAAAAGATCTAAGCACTCTGGTCTACGAATGGTGCAGATGAAAACCACGTCGGAGAACTAGGGACACCTCATCCATGAATGAGTATCCACACAAAGATTTAATATAATTTATATGATAAACATTAACTTTACATCTTTAGCTGATTCATCTTATCCTTCCTGTGCAGTAATCAAATCCTCCAAGTAATCAAATCCTATGCTCGTTATAATCACAGCTTGCTCTAGAACAGCTGTTATGCATTTATTTTCTCCCAAAACAGTCAACCTGTAGCAGTTGCACAGGCAAATGTGGTGAGGTTTTGCAATTTGGCGCTCATATCTGAGAAGAGATCAAGGACCAACACGTACTCCAGTGAACTTTAGTAAAGCAGCAAAATGTATAATTGTTTTAAACCGCACGTTTTGGATCGCCTTGTGGGTGGGAGAAGGCGCATTCCCTCCATATTAAAAAAATTCAGCTATGATGTATACGTGTTTACACAAGTGAACCTCACAGGACATATGGCAATATATGCCTCCTGAACTAGCTGGGATCACAGCAGAGCTTTGAGCTATAAACATTTATTTACTGGGTAGCAGAGAGCAGAAAGCGTATGGCAGGGCTATTCTTTGAAGGCTGAATATATCCACAGAGACTGTGAAGCATAAACTTACCTAAATATTTAGAAATCACACAGCAGAACTGTTGTGTGTTTGAAACCCGCCAGAACAAGGCAGCTGTGGCAGCACCGGTGTGAGCAGCTGTGATGACGGAGGGTTTCATACTTTACCATTTCCTTGTTAATGTGATTTAGAGCGAGGGGGTCGTGGCCAGGCAGAGGCTGGGCTAATGAATCCATCGGGGAAGCGGAGACAAGAGGGGAATAGGAAATGGAACGCGCAGGTCGAGCGCCGGAACGAGGTTTCTGTGACACTCCGTTTCAATGGAAATGTATTTAACACTGAAATAAACCCACCGACCTCCGCAGAGGGAATCGTCTCCGGTTTGGGAGCCGGCTCGTTCGGCAGGTGCTCACGCACGGCGGCACGGGACACGCACGCGGCGGCAGGCAATGTCGGCAGGTCGCGACAGGCGTTTCTCTTCCTGTGGGCAGGCCGGGTGCCTTCGGGTCTGCCCAGACCGGACGGGCAGCCGCCTTCCTACGGCAACAGAGCGGCACCGGGCTGAACTCGGAGGCGATGACGAACCACCCCGTCGTCGTGCGCCGCCTCGACGGGCCGAGGCGCGTCCGCGTGCGTACACGCAGGCGATAATGTGGGCGACACGGCACCCGCCGGCCGGAGCTCCTGGCTTCCCGCAGGACGGGCTGCAGGATTTTAACTGTCCGTATTTTCACTGCCAGCAGCCTCCTGCCAGCCCCAGACCCGCGCAGCTGAACCGCCGCCACGGAGATATCCCGCCTCCCGCCCCGGCTCCGCTACCCCCGCCTGACACGGGTGGAAGCGAGCGGC